TCCAAGTTTATTCGAACAAAAAATATTAATTAATAATAATGATTGCTATCATTCGTGGATGCTGTTAAATGTCTAGGCGCGGATATGTTTTTTGATCACGTCATCAAAGTACTGAGAGCACCTTACCTCGAAAGCGAAGTGCTAACTGTACAAAAATGGCGGCGATTTATGACGTCATATATTTCCCTAGAGTACTGCGACAGTGTACTGGCATTCCTTAACGGAACGAATTTTTAACCAGTGGTGAGAGCACTGAGCAGTACTCGCAGTGTATACCGGAACATAATCTAAGATTATAATGTTCCTTACAACTCACTCAAGAAGGTAAAAAATTACCTATATTCTTCTATAAACCTTGTCTTAACACAAAAATCAGAATGTAAAATTATTTTATTGTTTTTAGTCCTTTGATGTCGGCTCTTTACTTTTCATTAAAAAAAAAATATTTTGTATACGCGATCAAAATCGAGCGAGTGATATCGGTTTGACGAAAACCGAGATCAAATTATTCATTTGAACTCAGTTAAGTAAAACGTGGTTTTATTAAACTTGGGTTTCAAAGCGGACGGTGGAATCGACACTAAATCGATAATTTATTTTACACCACTACAACCTTGAAGCGAAGGTCGGACTCAGATGATCCATTACGCAATATAGTTACGTAGTACTATTATTTATTCTGTGATATAGACTAGTTTACTTTGTCGGTGTGATTCAGTACTCATTGCTATTTATATATCACTATATTTCTGGTCACATTGCAAAAATTAATTAATTCCATAATTCGTTAAATTATCATTTTTATTTCATGTTTTTGGATTAAGCACTAAGATTTTCACCTGAGTCACGGAGGCATTTTACATACATAAATAATTCATGAACAAACATTCAGACCCGGAACAATTAGTTATAGTTATAGGGGATACAGAAACTAGCTGTTCCATGCGGAATTTGAACCCGCCGCTCTGCAGCAGCGATCAAGTGCAGTGACAAACGAGCAGTTTGTCACTGATCTATAAAAAAATTATGTATTAAAAAAATGACTTTTAAAAAAGTTTAATACAATATACTTAGTGTTTTAATTCTTCAATACACTGTCTTATCACCATCTTCAGAAGCTATTAAGTGGTTACTTTTTTATTATTTTTAGTTCCTTGAAGCCGGCTCACATTATTTTAATTTTTTTAATGCTTTTGATTGGACTAAGAAATATCACAAGTTCAAGGTAGCAACTAGAATGGCTTCCAAACAGTAAAATTAAAAACTACATTACCTATTTACTGAAACAGCAGATGGACAGCAGCATCTTTCTGATAACAACTGTAAATAATTAAAAAAAAATTGCGGTTGCCAACCGGTATGTCAAGCGTGGCAGCTATGGCAAAATCTTGTATATGTACACTTATAGAGGCAATCTACCTGGGAAACCCATGTTTGGCAGTAGACTGTTATTTGTCCATAGTCCATACGCTGTAATGAACGAAAGGGTGGCAAAATAGGGCTGAAGATTTAACGTAACTCTTTGTACAATAAAATAATTTCTTAAGTTGGGGTTTAAATTCTTATACACTATATCTTAGCACCGACTTCTAATAAGAAAATATGTCATTCTTTTTAGTTCTATAAAGTCTGCTTTTAATTTTTATTATAAGTAAATTTTTTACCTACCGTTACAGCCTATTAAAATCTAAAGCCTAATTTGCCATAGTTGCCAAGCTTGGCAAGCGGATTGGCAACCGCAGATGTTTAAGTCGTTATTAGGAAGACGGTGCTGCCCATTTTCTGATTTGTTTCTGTCTGTCGCCTCTTACGACACCCGTGAAATGATAATACAAATGCGAAGTTGGCTTATATGTTATACACCGTTATTACATACAAAATTTTATGGAAATTCGTCCAGTACTTTTTGCGTGAATCGTGAACACACAATTTTTCTACCGATTTTTTTTATATTTTGTATAGATTTCGTGACAAACTTGCATATTTCCGACGACGACGTAAATAGTATACCAGGGAATATAAAAAACAAGATGAAGCCCAAAGTGGGCGGGGCAGGCGTGTCACAATTAGAGACAGTAGAGCGTAATTGACTGTCAGTTGCAGGCTCAAATTCTCGCTGTTTAAGTGATATATTATGCGAAAATATGCCGTTTTTATATTGAAGTGTAAAAACAAAAGTAAAAGGAAAAATATTTCGAATGGAGGCATTTCGTACCATACTCACGTGAAATTTTTCTTTTATTACATAGTAACGTGACTAAACACGGACAAAATATCAGATTTCCTATATTACAAGTAATACTCAACCTTATTTAATTATACTATGGTTCATCTGTTAATAAATTTTGAATAAAAATTGTTACGATAGTGTTGTGACTCGCCGATATTAGTTTTCGATAAAATTTTATCTTTCCTGTTTATTCACTAACATATTAATGAAAATGCGCAATACTGGATGCCTATGAAAATGAACAACTTTGTTAGGGTTGTTAAGCGAGAGAAGTAAGTAGTTTAATATTACTCATGACTTTCGGAAAGAAGCTAAAATAAAAGTGATCTTAATATCATAATATACATTCGTATCCGAATTCATTATCGTCTAAAATTAAATATAAAGTGTGAAAACGACAATTTTCAAATAAATATGTTATTTCAATGACAATAAACAATTGCTAAATTACTGTTTTTTGTTATATTATATTATATTTTGTAGTATATTCTCCTTGTTTCCATTTCAAAAATGATAATTTAGCTCACTGTTAATAAATTTCCGTTAACACAACTAATTATATGCCGGCTATATGAATTATATTCCACCACGTATATCCCATAATAGTACATAATGCAATATCGCATAAAGAACAATGGCAGACTTTCATTCATAAAATTGGTTGAGAAGGAATGGTAGCGTCTATATATCTAAAATATCTTAAAATGTTTAGCGTCAGTCCCATAATAACTCTGTCAAAGAATTTTGTCCTGAGAAGGCGTCAAAAAAAAGATATTTAGATTTGAACCTTTTTAGGTTGTCTTAAAATCATAGAAAAATAATAAAACTCATTTTATATGTAACTTATTTCTAGACGCGATAATTTTTGTCAACTATTTTTCTGCCATTGTCCTTTTGCTATTTAACTAATTTTATCATATATTTTCTTATACTTTAATATTGACTGAATATCGATAAGTCAAATCACGTTCACGCAGAGTAACTACATTACTAACATCATTCTTTAACAGTACAGTTTAGGTAGGACAAAGTCAACCTTATGTTTATTATCATTGTGTCTATAATAGTGTGAATTTAATTATGCGACGATGTGTATGTCATGAATTTATGTATGTCACGAAGCAATTTTTTCGTCAATCTTAGAAGCTTTTAGGATTAAGACATAATGATATCTATTGGTAAGAATTTATGGTGCATTTTCAGATATTATTAGTTCTAGAAACTTCGTGTGGTGGTTTTCCGGTCTGAAGTGTATAGAGAGCCAGTATAATTACAGGCAACGAGGCGTTCCATCTCAGTCCTCAGAGGTGACAACGCTACAATAGCCTCCTTTGTTTAAGGTGGTTGTTGCAGTCATCCATGGGCTGCAGTAGACACTTACCGTCAGGTAGGATGTTTTGAAGTTTGCAATTCTTGCACAATTAATAAATGTCTTCCAGTTTAAAAAAAAAATTAAAAACATTTACTTATATTATAGAATAAGTAGCTGTCTAAGTGACTGTACAGACTGTATAAATATTCTAGTGTCTTTTTATATGTATATGTCACATTCAAAACTCATAACCGGTCAAAACCACTTTTGACTGCAAAAATCATGCAAAAATGGTTTTCACCGAACACCTGAGTCAAAAACAGTTTTGACTGATTTTTGTGGTCAAAATTAGTTTTAACCAACGCTCTTAGTCAAAAGTTTTATTGTCTGATTTAAACTTCAGACTATCGGTCAAAACTCGTAATTTTGTACGTGGTAGAGCCATGCTGCAGTTATATTAATAGTATAGTTGTAGCACGAATGGGTCGGCTCGACAGGGGAAGGACCACGCTCTCACAGAATACCAGCGTAAAGTACCAGCTAAGTGCTGCTGTGTTTCGTATGGTGAGTGTAGAGAACCGGAGACCTTTGTTACTGGAAAAGAGGCATTCTACCTTAGTCCTCACGGCTGACAACGCATCTGCATTATTATTCGCTAACGAAGATAGATGTAGATGTCTATGGGCCACAGCAACCACTTACCATCAGTGTGCTCGTGTGTCACCCTTATTCTATAAAAAAATCAGTAACAGTAGGTTAAGGTCCGACTGGGTTGGCCCTTGGGTCACCCTAAAGCCGCGTTATAATGATATAAAATATAATATAGACGAAATTGAACTTTTTAATTTCAGAAATACAAAAAGTATAAGTCAAAAGAAGTTTTGACTAACATTATTGGTCAAAACCACTTAACTGATGTAATTTGAATAAAAATACTTTTACGGGTTCTATCGCGTGTTTATTAATTTTTTGTTCGATCTACGCAGAATAAACTTCCGTGTTTTGAAGTTCATTCTGCGTAGATCGGACCAAAAACTAATAATTAAAAAAGCTGAAGGTACTCCGGGTTAACTCTGACATCGGGACGTCAATCACCTCAGTCCCCCCGTGACCATGGGTGCTGTAAAGTACCCGAAACTTCGGGAATCAATAAAAAACAAGATAATTAAACGCGATAAAATCCGTAAAAGTAGTTTTATTCGATGTGTAGTGTTCGCGTAAATATAAGAAATCATGATGTAATTTAGTCAAAATCACTATTATTAAGGTTACTGATCTTTGCAGTTAAAAGTGGATTTGACCAACGGTCCTAAGTCAAAACAACTTTAGCCCGATTTTTTGCAGTCAAAAGTGGTTTCGACCGTTTATGAGTTTTGACTGTAACATATTATATAAATAAATAAAAACTAAACTCGTAATCCTCTATTGGCTAGCGAAGTCGGGTTACAAAATACTTACATTTTGCCCAGCTGCGAGTACTTGACGGTGAGGACCTTCTCCAGAGCAAGCAGAACGCTTGGCGGGAACTTCTTTTTCTGCGTCACGAGACTTCGAACCCACAGGAGGAGATGTTCGAGATGCCGGCTGTCTTCTAGAAGACGCGCAATCGAATTCGCGAGACGAGATGCGTAATCTTCCTCCAACCCGGCCACTGTTAACTCGACTGCGAAGAGATTTTAAGATTAAAATGGCGCCAATTTAATGCTAATTATTATCTGTATTATTATTTCTTATTGTTGTTACACTGACATTTTCTTAGGTTGTTTTTAACAAAACTGGGTTAATTGTTACTACTACAGAACTTTTTTCTAAAAAAAGAGTGACATACAGTCCACCTGATGGTATCTGGATCCTGTGCGCCATAGACATCTACAGCTATCTTCGATTAAGAATCAAAATACAGAATGCGTTGTCACCCGTTAAAACTAAGATGGAATGCCTCGTTTCGAGTAAAAAGGGTCTCCTGTTCTCTAGACTCGCCTCTACAGCAGAATTAAGTTGCTATTTTACGCTGTTATTTTGTGAGAGCGTCATCTTTCTCTGGTCGAACCGATCCATCCATGCTACAACTATAGTATATTTTTTATAGAATTAGGGTGACAAGCGAAAACAAAGCCCACCTGATGGTAAGTGGATGCTGTAGCGCAAAAACATCTACATCTATCCTCGATTAAAAATTATAATGCAGATGCGCTGTCACCCATGAGGACTAACATGGAATGCCTCGTATCTAGTAAAAAGCTTAACAAAAGACTGTGTGCTCTTTGTTACCCTGCTCTTTGTTACCCTATCCTATAAAGTAAATGGTTGCTGTGGCCCATAGACATTTACGTCTATCCTCGATTACGAATCAAAATGCAGATACGTTGTCACCCTTGAGGACTAAGATGGAATGCCTGGTTTTCAGTAAAAACTAAAAAGAGTCTTCGGTTCTCTACACGCTGGAATTCTGTGAGAGTCGAACCAACCCGTTCGTGCTACAACTATACTAATAGTACAATAGTAATATAGCTGCAGCATGGCTCTACCACGTAAAAGAAGAAGCCTATTGACTCTTGCCTTGAAAACACCCACATTGTTTTCAGATGGAAAAACATATATTGGTAAATTATTTCACTCATAAATTTCAATATAAATTTTCTTTTTAACTGTTGATTGTATAATTTCTAATTTACTGTTAGTAACACAGTTTCTGCAGAAGAATTTCTTTTAAATAATTCATGAGAAGGATTTTAATTGACATGAGCCCCACTATATTTGTTTCAGACCTAGCAGTGAAGAGGCTATCGCTAAGACAGTTTATCAGTGAACGTGTCGCAGAACAATAGTTTAATCAGCCAGTAATTAAAGTCAGACCATAAGTTCGGTTAAATTAAAATTTGTTAGGGTAGCAAGAAGTGAGATTGGAGGCCACTGATGATGATGACTGAATCCACGGATATTACGCAACTGGGATATAACTAATTTCATTTTATTTGCACAATATCTTTATTTTAGAATTTAAAACGAAATGTTGTCCTAATTATAAATTATCACGGCATATGCATATTACCTAAAATTTATTAATATTATAAGTTTTGACCTTGACTCTAGACATTAGATTTTAGAATTTAGACTAGACTTTGCTTTTAGTTTGACTTTACACTTCTAACTTTAAGCCTTTAAGACTTTAGACTTTTAACTTTCAAATAAGCCGATATTAGATCATCATTAGGTTTATTAAAAAGCGTACTGTCTGCTGGCGGGACGGACTCGACGCACTCTTGAATAACTTGGTGCTCGTTCAATTGCAAGGCTCCTATCAGCGCGGGACCCCACGAGCCTTCTTCTAGAAGCTTCTTCACGGCGTGCGGAGTGGAACCGCTCTCTAATCGATAAGGTCTGTGGAATTAAAATAATTACAAATTTCTTCTAGCTTTTTTCTCCGCCACAGCAAATTCAAAAATTAATTAACAAATAAAATTGATATCTTAGATACTCTCTCTCTCTCTTCAAACACTTATCTTGCTCTTCATTTTGATGTTCAAACTCGGTAAGACACTATTAGTTACTTATATGCAACATCTTATGGCCCCTCTGCACTACTCGCGAAAGTTGATCGAAGTAGGGCGAGGCGAATAGTGTATGTATGTACTTTAATTTACTTCGTGCAACCTCGCTTCGCCTCGGGCGACTTCCGATCGCTGTCGGTTTTTTGCGCCAGAGTCAAAGGACTTCGCGAAGTACCCCGAAGTTACACGAAGCGTCTCACAACACTACTCGGCGTACGCCAGTTATATATATTTTTTTATATATATATAAATATTAAATATGTAGCTTCCTACACATTTATTTATCGATAGTTAACGCATTGACGTCGTACTGTTCACACAATTAGGTACTTACCTATAGCAGCTGTCTCTTGAACGTTATTCATGTTAAAGGGTGCGGGCAGCTCAAGGCGACTGAGCTATTCGATAAGTTGAACGAGAGTGTAGTCACGTTCTTCGGACTGCGTTTGACTTTGACGAGCACTTCATCGAGGTAACTTTGCGAGTAGTGTAGAGGAGGTATTAATATAATGGACTTCCGCGAAGTAACGTCTGTTTATATTAAATATTTTAAGAGTATTCGTACAAAAAAACGTGCCTTGCAGAAATAAAAGGGATCTGATTACACATATCAATAATCGCCACGCCTAGCAGGTAGGTTAGCGATCGTAGAACTAGACGTCTCGCACTTTTGACGCTTTACGCCTGGCATGTATAAAATAGTCAGAGCTCCATCTATCGACAGCCCAAAACATCTTTTACAGGTGATGAATTCTTAACCGCCGACTTTCTATTACTTGTGGTTATTTCTTATTTCGCAACATATAATATGTTTGTTTGTTTGTTTTCTTAATTTATTGAGTAAAAATTAACGTTGCCTTGTACTGTGTAGTGGCGGTGTAAGAATATCCACTATTCCATATCATCTTGTGGGTGTCGTAAGAGCAGCAAACCCGGAGATGGGCAGCAGCTCATCGTTTTTTTTTTTATAGGATAAGGGTGACAAACGAGCACACAGTCCACTTGATGGTAAGTAGATGCTGTAGCACATAGACATCTATATATATCCTCGATTAAGAATCAAAATGTAGATACGTTGTTACCCCTGAGGACTAAGATGGTATGCCTCGTTTTCAGTAAAAAGGGACTACGGATCTCTATACTCGCCATACTATGGGATCATTCAGTGGACGTTTGATGAGCTACAACGGTAACAGTAGGGTAACTAATCTATGTTAAAAATTTCGACGACCATAACAAACACAAAATTAAACCCAAACCTGAACGTTCCATCGATTCCGGCATTCTGACTGTACACAAGGAGGCCCTCTGTCGCTGCTACAGCGAAACTCTCGCCAGTTGGAGAAAACCGTATGCAGTGTACACGTACCTGCATCATTGAACAACGTATTACGAAAAGTCATTACAGAAATAAATAGACTTATCTGTCATAAAACAGAATGTATGTTCTCTTTGATTTGACTTCGTATCACATATACCAATTTAAACAATAAACTAACAATGTCACCCACACACAAACACACAGATACATTATCGCTCGGTGAAAGCGATAACTCGGATACAGACTCAGATCAGTCGCTCAACCGATCTGCATATTGTATAAGGACGAGCGGCCTATGTTGATAAACAAATCCGAAACAACACTACCGTTATTATTGTAATATAAAAATAAATATAGTTTAAAAAGAAGTAAATCGCAATCTTTTTATAAATTTAATGTGGCTCATCTCTTTTTGCAGCAAATAATTTAACAATTCGGCATTTTTGTAGAACGTCGATTCAACCGCGCTACTAGATTTAGTCTAGTGAGCAGTGCGGCGTGCAACTAGTTTTATTGTACGACTTACACTTTGACAGAGGGGAACGCCTGTGTATGGCTACTCCCTATTTGTTGCAGTTGCTTTCCTACAAACGGTCACTACTTTTCAATGATATAGTTTATTCAAGACTCACTTCTGGTTTAACTTTCCTATCAGCCATATCTCCTGCCTTGACTCCAGGCAGGCGAATGCTGACGTCGCCGCCTTCTAACTCCGTTCTTTCCTCTATGAGCGCCATGTTGCCGAATTCAGTCAGAAGACGACGGTTGATGAAATCCTGCAAAAACACTTTTGTATTAATAAGTGTTACAAATAAGCTCATATAGAATCCACACCCAAGCTGAAGATACAGGTCCCTCTACCCATGATAAACTATCATAGTTATTTTTATATATAAAAATAAATTGCTGTTCGTTAGTCTCGCTAAGATTTGAAAATGGCACGAACGATTCTGGTGAAACTTTAGATGGTTTAGATTCACATTTGGACCCGGTAGATGGCGCTTTTGCGAGGTCTAGTAATCACCCGTGCAAAGCCGGGCGGATTACCAGTTTTTTTATAAAATTGAAAGTGACAAACGGGTAGACAATCCACCTAGTAAGTGAATGCTGCGACCAATAGACCTACATTTATCGTAGATAAAATATCAAAAATAGCCGCAATGACGGTGTAAGAATAACCACTATCCCATATCAGCCCGTGGGTAAGATGCAATAGAGGGAAACAAATCAGGAGATGGGCAGCAGCGTTTTCTTAATAACAGTTAAAAATAAAAACTGCAGTTGCCGACCCACTTCCCAGGAGTGTAACTATGGCAAATATCCCCCTTATGAGGCAATTTATGTGCAGGCCTATGTTCAGCAGTGGACTTTCATAGGCTGTAATGGTACGGAACGGAAAGTATCAATATGAAGATGCGTTGACATCCCTGAGGACCAATACTTATTAAATTTTAGTTTATTATCATGAAGACAATCAATCAAAACGTTATTAAGATTTTCATCAGATAATCAATCAAGATGTTATTAAGACTAGATAATCATCACAGACTATTTAATTTATCAAATTTTCGATTTAAAAAATAATCGATAAGTTTTGCGGATAAAATACAGCCTAGATGACTCCTAGCATTGCTCTCTATCTGTTCGTGAAGATTTAATACTGTTGACGAGCTTGGGGTTCGAGATAATTAAAAACTGCCGATTGAATTACCAAAATTGACACTTTAATTACAGAGCACTAATTACAACTTAAACCACACTAATAATAAAACACAATTGTACTACTGATCACTTTACTTCGCAGTTGTATCGCTTCGAAGTATTCGCTTATATCGCCAATTCAATACTGACTCGGTCGTGGTCTATACCGGCCTCAGATAGTTATCAGAACCTTCTACTGTAGAAACATCTAGAATGTTCGAGTACATATCGGTCCCGAAATTTCTAGAAGGATCTTGACTCTCCTAGTTCTGCTACTCGATACTAGAGGGCGCTAGTGTTAACTAGTGTTGCCATGTACAAGATATTAATAGTGGCGCGCAACAATACAATCGGTTCAACCATTCTGAAGACTAGCCCGGACAGTACAAATACTGGTCCCACGTACGCAATGTATGCAACACATTATGACATCTGGACTCTTGATTTTGTACGATTAGAAAAACACTTATCGTATACAACGCAATCACACGACCTGCGATGTCCAGATCGTCGTGGGAAGGTGGAGGGGAATTTCGTACGCAATCCCAGTCGTACGACCAGTGTGTTCATAGAATTTACGGTTAGCACGTCATGAAGAAATAGACTTTTGCATCGTGCACCCGTTTTGTTGCCAAAATGGGAGATGAACAGCTCAGGTGATACGAATGTATTTTTATTATTAAATGTGTTTAAAGTAACGATACTACATTACGTAATACAGCATGGGAAAAGAGAGCAAAACTACAAGATAAGGCTTGTGCGTACCTATTCACCAACCTGCCTTTTATTTTGGTTATTAACGTGAAATATGGAAGGTCGAGGCGCGAAATTAAAGAAAAAAGTAGTTTATTTTTTATTTTTATCCCATTTACGACTGGATAATAGACATGATTTTATATATGGCGGAAATAGCACATTGTATTCTACATATTCCTGTATTTATTTACATTATAAATCACATTTTTAACAGATATACCACCTAAACATTTTCTTTGTGGCATGGATATATTCGTTTATGAACAGCAGAATAAGGAAATCAGTCTCAAACTTACTCCCAGAATTAGAAAACATATTTCTTAGTTATTACTTTACGAAATGAACTATACATATATACATACATTAACTGCGTCAAGCGATCGGTTCTGTGTGATGACGAACTTCTTTATAAGCACAGACTCCTTCACGCTGTACAGACAGACGTGTTTCGAATTGCCCCCGCCAAGGATACAACTGCCATCTGCTGAGTAGCAGATCGTAGTGAAAGCCCTGAAATTAATTGTAAATGCTTATATTGTGATAAAAAAAATATAATCCATTCTACATCTGGAAAATCTCATGTGCACAAGTCGATATTACTATTATTAATAAGCACTTGCTGACACTTAAAGGACCACCCGGATACGGACCCAGCATGAAATGGAACTTTTTTTTATAGAATAAGGGAGACACCTGATGGTAAGTGGATGCTGTGGCCCATAGACATCAACAGTTATCCTCGATTAAGAATCAAAATTCAGATGCACTGTCACCCCTGAGTACTAAGATGAAATGACTTGTCTCCAGTAAAAAGGGTCTCCGGTTCCGGTTTTCTACACTCACCATACACAGTAGCATTAAGCTGCCATTTTACGCTGGTATTCTGTGAAAGCGTGCTCCCACCCCAGTCGAGCCGACCATTCGTGCTACAACCATAATATAGCTGCAGCGTGGCTCTACCATGTTTAAAATATGAGCATAATATGAGCTGGAGCTGCAAAATTCCACTCAGTAGCGTTGTACTTAGTGGAGAGGCGTGCTAAGAAGCTTTTTGGTTACCTTGATTTACTTGAAACCATTCTTAAGAACTTTAAGCACTGGCACAGAATAGTCAGCCTCTCAATATTCTATAGGATACATTTCGAAGAGTGGGCACAGGAATTACTAAATTTCTTCCTCCCTTTTTCACCATCAGACTATCATGCGGTCGGCGGCATTCAAACCAAAAGGTCTTTCGTAAAACCTACAGCAAAAGAGTTGAGTTATCTGCTGGTTTCTGTCTTACCGTTCGATTTCAATATGGATGCCTTCAAGGCGAGAGTGAATAGGCTTTTGTTTTGCTAAGATAATGCGATCCATCTAGGGTTTCATCGCGTTTGTGGTCAAGCTGTAGCTTATAATATGTAAAAAAAAATATTTCCACCATTCCACCTATCGGCATTTTTCTCATCCAGCACGTAACAATATCATCAATTACTCACTTAGTTTTAAGATTAGTTTCAGCGGTTATGAGGTCCGTATCGGACCTGCCGGCGCCCAGATCGTTGCGACCCTCGATGCTGCCGGTCTGTTCGCAGGTTGTGGAGTTGAAAAACGAAATGTTTCCGTCCAGGGTCGACACTGCAATCTGGATTAAATTATATAAGTGATAAGACAGTTTAATTTATTCATGGCATACTTTTTAAAACACTATGGGGAAACGAGCTAGACTATAGAATAGTAAGTCGCTGCTTTAGCCCATGGACACCTGCAAGCAACTTCAAAGAAAGGTTTATTTGTTTATTTATTCACAAATTGTGTTACATGACTTAGTCACTTCGAAAGGCATAGCAGTTAACAGGAGAGGGGCAGATACTCCAAAAATTCTCAATGTATTCATTAATTGAATAGTAACTTTTTTTTAATAAGTATATTTTTAAACAGCTTACGAATTTATTAATATTTGTTTCGGCTTTTAGGTATTCTGGCAATTTATTATAAATTTTAATTGACATCGGATAAGGACCTGAACTGTGTAATTTTAATTTAGATTTTGTTTGCCAAAGGTTATTTTTATAGCGATGTATGTTGTGTCGGGGCGCATTTTGGTGTAAAAATTTGACTTACACGCGCATCCTTTTTTTTTTTGTAAAATAAAACGTTCGTGTGATTCTACACTGTTACCCCACAGTATGACACCGTAGTTACAGGTGCATACCACCTCTGAAGACTATAGTCGATCTCTTCCATACACTGTTATGGCACGGTGACGAATCCACCAGCCAACAGGGCCGGATTTAAATATGAAGAAGACCCTGTGGCCATAAAGAAGTGGAGGCTCCTAATCTGAAATCTGCATGTCTAAGAAACATAGAAAAAAAAACTGCAGTCATGTGAAGTTTGCCAACACGCATTGGGGCAGCGCAGCGGACACTTACTTGCCCTAAAACCCTCTTAGAAATGAGAGGAGGCCTGTGCCCAGCAGTGGGACCGTATATAGGCTGTAACTTTAACTTTTTACCTTTTATAGCCAAATACTCAAACGCTACTCAATTTTAAGACGTCGTTTAGCCTCGTGGTGTCAGTCACATAAAGGCATCTTAAAATTGTGTGGTATATTATACTCAAAGTATTCGGGCATTAAATACGTAGATGTCGAAAAACACAAAAAATTAAACCATATTACATTGTATTGTCAAGCAAAATCCAGCTCGTGGAGTAAATTACTGTGAAACTTGTAGACATCTGCACACCGTTAAATTTTGTCCTAGATTTTACATTTAACCAAAAACAAATTATAACATATAATATAACGTATATTGTGGATCCCACGAAGCAAACACAAAAAGGAGATGGCATAAGCAACTGTGATTCTAACTAGGTCCTGGCGTCATCACAGTGGGCGTGGGTTTACTTAGTATACTGTCAGCGTTCGTTCTGTGCGCTTATGTGTCGAAAATCACAAATCGGTGTAATTTTGTCGTATTAAGAAGAAAAGAATGAAGTACTGTGTTTTATCGTGTAAAAACTACTCAGATAGACGCTTTGATACTATGGATGGCATCACATTTCATTTATAAGTAATTTTATAGCTAATTTATTAAAAAGATACTAGAAAAATCTCTGCGTCGGCTTTCAAATGTAATTAAATAGATTCGAAACTTGATGGCGACACTTTGTGTCATGAGAACTAAAAATATAAAGGTACGTAGAGCTCAGTAAAATAATCATACGGAGGTGTTTTTTCAATTTGTTTTGCATTCAGTCCTAAAGAATTTTTAATCGCCAAAATATTATTTTTATACTTTTTTAATCATTTTGTGAACAGTCCGCCATCTATCGTCAAGGTAACTAAACTACATTGCAGCATCGATATGGAACGATGCGAGTAGTTTTGCGAGAAGTTTTACGAGGGTTTAACATCCCCTCACCCCGCAAATTGTCACGCGTTGTTTCATAGTGAAATCTAATTACAACACCTCCTTTTTGCATTTGCTCCGTGGTGGATCCTAATGCAGGGAGTATTCGTCAAAATTCCTGCCTAGCCCTGCTTGCCATGCGTGCCAATAATTTAAAAAAAATCAAAGACTTACCTCTTCTCCATCCGGTCGGAATGCTACTTGGAGGGCATCGGAGGTCAACTGTATGGTCTCACAGTCGGAGCTGGTCTCTATACAGTTCCAAAGCCGTACGGTTTTGTCCCAGGCCGCCGAGGCCAGACGTGAACTAGACAACGTTGGACTGAAGGACAGACTGGCTACTGGTGCTTCATGGCCTCCTAGTACCTAAACGAAATTTTACATACATTAAAATAAAAATCCGCCATTTTATAGATTGAACAATCATAATGAAATCAAATGCGTTTGCAATGATTTTGGCATACCGTTATGATAAATCAAAATGGCGGCTACTTGGCATACTTTCGCCCTTAGATCATAATATAATGTCTAGATAGCGCGTCTCACTGTAATTATGTTTCAAACTATGGACCAGAATCAAAGTTAACGGTTCCATGTGTGTGACAGCTTCGTCTTACAATCATGCTGATGGGTGATTTTCAACATCGCGAGGGGAATAAATTGGGAAGTTTCGCATGTAGTTGTATTCGCTTTCGTACATATATAATAGTTATTCGATCAAAATTAATATTGAAGAATTCGCATGGTCTACGATTACGAATTCTTCTTTAGGAATGCAAGAAGAGTAGAGTTTCAAATCACAACGATCCTAAAGAATTTTCCACTTCAAAAAATCAACTATTCCTTCATTCAAAAGTCAGACTTTACCGAAATACTTACCAAACTGTTATTAAAAAGGATTATACTTAGTTAATTTTAAAAGAACATCCATTATTAATAGATGTTTAAAATATTTTATCAATCATTACTTAATTGCCAATTTATATTTTAAAATTACTTATTAGACAACCAATTTTTCTGATAATGATTCGGTAAATTTAAGTTCGATTAATATGCAACACAAAAAAATCAGTTTGCACAAACATTTTTTTCTACGTGTGTTTTCCTACAATTATATTATTAGACATTATATGATCTAAGATTTCGCCATATAGAAATTATCTTTATTTGACATGTGCCAAATGCGCAAAAACACAAGCTTAAGTATTTACTTATGGTACAAGAGTTTAGTAGACACTAATGTTAAATATAATTTGAAACAAAGTATAACACAATTTTATAGCTAAAATATAATAAATGTAAGCTATTTCTAATATGATGTATATAATTAATTGTGAAACACAATTAATAGTAATTGTACAGCTATTATTATTATTTTTTTTAGAAAAACAGTTCCGCCGGGTTTCTTACCAGTTCTTCTGAGGACAAAGGTATTTTCCGAAACAGTGGTTAAAAAAATCTATAAATTACTTCCAATAAATATTGTTTATAATCTGTATTTAATATATAAAAACTACTTCTATTTCTATTGGGAAGCTCCACTCACTTCCAAAAGTTTTCCGAATTTAATCGACCATATAAATATCTCAAACACATCTTGGCCGCCCGCCGCACACAATTCACTGCTAGAGTCCAAGGCCACACAACTGAACTGCACTAGACTGGGCGAAGTTAGCGTTCGGAAGTTGCGATACCTGTGAAATGTATTTTATAACAGTAGAATTAAGTTCAAATTGGTATAACAAGACACAAATAATAAATAATTAAAAAAATCAAATACACGGCTGAAAAAAGGCAATTTAAAAGCAATGCACCAAAAAGACCGGACCAAGATTGAGAATAGAAAACAAAATTTAAATAATCTATACACAAAATAAACTCTACTTCGGCTTAATAACAGACTATATTAGCTGAAAGCGAAGCCGGCCTTGCTCTTTCTGACCGAGACGCAGGTGTCCTCTCAGGCTGATACTTCGTATCTCTCCTACCCGGGGTACAAATTGGAGCACTTCTTTGTGCCTCGGGCTGGAGTTTGCGTATACGTCAGAGAGGACATCTGTTCTTGACACCTCGGCTGTCTTGAAGGTTCGGACCTGTCCGTACGCGTAGACAGCGACGACCATCCGCGCATCTACTGGTGCCTCTATAGGTCCCATAGCGGTAACGCCGAAACCAAAAAACCAAAACTAAAAACCAAAAAATCCACGTCCAAATGGCTACAGATTCCTTGCTACAACAGGTCCCATCCGAAGAGATCGTAATCCTTGGCGATTTTAACGCCCACCACGCTGAATGGCTCAGTTCACGTTTTAAAAATCATGCGGAGAGATCTGCAGATGTGGAGGAACGTACACCTTCCCCGTTGGACCTTCTGCTAACCTTTCATCCGGACCGATATCAGGTTTCCGTAGATGCCCCTCTTGGCTCTTCGGACCATTGTCAGATCCGGGGTGTGGTGCCACTCACGCTCCCCTCGCGGTTGCATTTTGAAGGTTGCCGCCGTGTTTGGCATTACAGCTCGGCGGATTGGAACGGAATTTGGTCTCTCTTTGCATCCTACCCATGGGGGCGGGTTTGCTTGTCGCCGGATGATCCCAGCGCTATTGCTGACTCTGTCACTGATATGGTGCTATAGGCAATGGAACTATTTATTCCATCATCTGTGGTACCCATCGGAGGCAGATCTCAGCCTCGGTTTGGCCGCTTCTGTAAGACTGCATTACGCAGTAAGCAGGAGTGTTATCAAGCCTGGACTGTGGCTTCGGCGACTCGGGATGTAAACACCAGCATGCTTAAAAAGAAGTATAACTTCGGCTCCAGCTCCTTCAAAAGAGTTATTGCAAAGGCAAAGTCAGAGCACATAGGCAGAATTGGCGAGAGACTAGTTCACCTTCCTTCGGGAACCCGTGCATTCTGGTCTCTCGCCAAGGCTGTCGAAGGGTATTTCTGTAAGCCATCACTACCATCTCTACACAGGAAGGACAACTCACTGGCCCACGCCGCAAAGAAGAAAGCCGACCTTTTAGGCTCCCTTTTTGCGTCCAACACGGCTCTTGATGACGGGGGGAATACACCGCCGACCATCTATCTCGCAGTGTGAGTGCTCCATGCCGGATGTGCGGTTCTCAGAGCGCTCTGTTTCGCAAAGCACTCCTCTCCCTGGACATCCACAAGTCGAGTGGGCCTGACGGAATCCTCCCAATTGTGCTGAGGACGTGTGCTCCGGAGTTGGCACCGGTTCTAACGCGTCTTTTCCAGTACTTCTACTCCCTAGGCGTAGTCCAGAAATTATGGAAGACAGCTTTTGTCCACCCGATCCCTAAAAAAGACGACCGCTCAGACCCGTCCAACTACAGGCCTATCGCCATCACCTCCTTATTCTCCAAAATAATGGTATTCATTATAAACTGCCAACTCATGCGGTACCTTGAGGATCACCAGCTGATTAGTGACCGCCAGTACGGTTTTCGTCGGGGTCGATCAGCTGATGATCTTCTGGTCTACCTGACTCATAGATGGACGGAAGCAGTAGAGTCCAAGGGGGTTAGTTTGGACATTGCGAAGGCCTTCGATCGGGTTTGGCACAAAGCGCTTCTCTCGAAGCTACCTTCCTATGGGCTTCCCGAGAAGTTGTGCAATTAGATCACCAGTTTCCTTGCAGATCGGAGCATCAAGGTCATTTTAGACGGTGCATGCTCCGACTACAAGCCTATTAACGCTGGTGTTCCACAAGGCTGTGTGCTATCACCAACGCTGTTTCTTCTGCATATCAATGATATGTTGCTAACTGGTAACTGGGAGCACTGGTGATGCTACACCGGCCGTGCCAATATTTCTCGGGAAAACGTCGCCGAGTACCGGAACAAACTTGTGTCTGAATTCGAGTCTTTGCTGAACAATGTCTCGGATTGGGGGCGCCTAAATCTAGTCCAGTTTAATCCTCAGAAGATACAAATTTGCGCGTTAACCGCTAAAAAGAACCCCTTTGTCGTATTTCTAGTTTCAAGGCACTCCCCTTGTTGCCTCAGCCAGTATCGGAATCCTCGGCGTCGAAATATCGAGTGACGTGCAGTTTTATGGTCACTTGGAAGAGAAGGCCAAATTGGCCTATAAAAAGCTTGGCGTGCTCAGCAGAGCGGGACAGTATTTCATGCCGGCACAACGCCTGCAACTTTACAAGGCGCAAGGTTCGGCCTCACATGGAATACTGTTCCCATCTCTGGGCCGGGGCACCCCAGTGCCAGCTCCTTCCACTTGACCGCATCCAGCACAGAGCGACTCGAATCGTCGACGACCGAGTCCTTTCCGATCGGCTCGATTCATTGGCGCTGCGAAGAGATGTTGCATCCCTTTGCATTTTCTTTCGTATTTACCACGAGGAGTGCTCTGAGTTCGGAGTTCGGATTAAACCCAGCCGCCAAATTTCACGAACGCACATCGCGGCAGAACTCTCGATACCACCCACACCATCTGGATGATTGGCGGTCCACCACTGTGCGATTTAGAAGATATTTTCTTCCTCGCACAACTTCCTTGTGTAATCGATTACCATCAGCGATTTTTCTGGACCGATACGACTTAGGGACCTTCAAGAAAAGAGCCTACTCCTTTTTAAAAGGCCGGCAAAGCATCTGCAAATCCTCTGGTTCTCCTGGTGTTGCAGTTGTTCATGGGTGGCGGTAGTCACTTACCATCAGGTGAGCCGCATGCTCGTTTGCCCCTCTCCTATAAAAAAAAAGTTAAATTTCTGTATTATACTCGCGACAATCTAAGAAGCCAGATTTGACAGCTATAAAAATACTTTGCGTACTGATGGGGAAAAAATTGGTTGCTTTAAAAACCGATTCTAGAGACATATCGATTATTTAGAGTTTGTAATGGACAATGTATCTACATCGTTTAAAATTTATTCTCAAGGTATATCGTTTTAATACATGAACGAGTTTGTAATATTTAACAGTTATTACATAAATCCAAACTAAGTTTAAATTTGGGCCAGTTTCAAAGCCAAGGCGTAAACTAAAATCCGACACACATTGCTTATTATGTAGGCACGCCACTGATATGCACCCGTACGAAGCCGAGGGGGGTCGCTAGTCAAGAATAAAATTTACAATAAATAAGTGTGGTTGGGTCAGTTAAATAAATAAATTCACTGAATTCGTAACATTTTTATTCTCAATTCTTATCTTAATGCCAACAAACAATTTGTTATAAAACCTTCCCCGGCAGATCCAGCATGACAAATAATGACGCGTCCACCCTTTCCCATTGAAACTTTTGAGTTGGATGCTTGCGTATCATACGTCCAAGACTGTGGCACAGTATGATTAGCATTTAAACATGTCTCATCAATAACTATATCGTTGTCCCATTTGGTTAATTTATTAACTTCTCTTAAAAAGGATACTCTTTGTAGTATTATGTCATACCTTTCCATCAATATTTTCCGTTTGTCGGTTTTTTTGTACTCGTATGAAAACCCAATATTTTTTATAAAATTGTTTATAGATGTTGCACTACAATCATATAGGTTTGCAGATTTAAGGGACACAAGTAATTTACTTACGGTGGGGTATTTTTGTCTTGTGTAGTAGCCGTAAACATGGGATCTAACAGCATCAGCATCAATATAATCGATACCTGTCACAGGTTTTTGTTTTTTTTTTCGCTTTTTGGGTGTGTGCAATACATTATCTTTACAGCCAAAAGGCCTGTACTTTTTCTTTATAATATTTCGGACAGTTTTTATGCAACCGCTTGGGCGACTCGTTCTTTTACTTGGGTAACTTCTAAAAGAGACCCTCTATTTGCTGACTCCCGTTCAAAGTACTCGTGCAACTTCAAAACCAAGCCACGAGACTGGCTGTTAAGAGTACATCCTCTTTTATACATGTTGTCTAGTTTACACGATAACACCAAAATCACGTAATGCGTAATCAAAGTCCGAACTTAGCAAGCCAAGGTAAACGAATATAGCAGAAACAGTGCAAGAGTGATAGCCGAGTCAGAAAATATAATAATAACCAATAACACAAAAAGTTCCAAGACAGCGAGAGGCCGCGCGAAGCATTGACGAATCAATATCTATAAAATCTATAAAAAAAACACTACACCCACCTTTTTTATTTATTTAACACAATAGAATATTTACACTGTTACAGTTTTACAAACTGCCAAAATGCTCAGTAATTTGTTGGCAGAAAAATACGCTTACTTCCTAACATGCAAAAAAATAGCTTAGTACAAACACATAGCATTAGCACGCATGCACTTATATTATGGTACAATTTCAAATATAACAAACCAATAGCATCAATATACACTTATCAGGAATTCGAATGATATCTCATCAATAAATCCGTGATAGATAGAACCGTGGTAGCCGTAGGGGCTTAGTGCTCGTTGTAAATTTCACAGTACGTTCGATCTCCGCCGGCACTAATGGTTATTCCAATTTTAAGTGCTGATATACCACGTGCTCGGCGGTGAAGAAATACATTGTGAGAAAACCTGCATGTCTGAGAAATAACAAAATAAACAATATGTTCAAGACATAAGTCATAAGTGCCCAGCAGAGGGACGTGTATAGAGGCTCTAACTTTAACTTCAACTCAACAATAAATCTCCGAGCATAAAATACTTAAACGCACTCACCTCGTAAGATCGTAACACCTAACCGTTCCATCGAGCGACGACGACACGAAGAACTTTTTGTTGGCGCTGAAAACGATGCTGGTGACCGTCGACTTGTGCTCGTTGAAGGTTACGAAACAGAACCCGGAGCTTGTGTTCCAGACCTTCACTTTGCCGTCGTACCCGCCCGTAACTATGTACAGGCCGTCGGGCGAATACGCGAGGCAGGTCATGTCCAACGAATGACCCTGTTGCTTCATTACATATTGCTCACCTGAAAAGTAGTTCCTTAGTTTGTACTCTTTTAATATAGTAATTTCTTTTTCAACCGACTTCAAAAAGGAGGTTTACAATTCGTCGGAATCTTTGTTTTTTTATGTATTTTCACCGACTACTCGAAGACACCTAAACCGATTTGGAAAATTCTTCTTTATTTCATATGGTATGGTGGTCCTAATTAAATTTTATCGGAATCGGTCGAGCGGTTTATAAAAAATCAACAATAAATTATATTTATATTGAAGTCGGTTGTACAAAATTTTTAATTATACCACTTGTTGTATATATGTTCCTTCTTTTATTAAATAAGTTATAATTTAACAATTTTATTAAATTTGGAGAATAAAAACAACCCAAAGGTCAAAATTAGAGGTGAAGTTTTAATATAACTATTTAGACGTTATTCGACCTAATTCCTCAGTACACCCAAAACATTAAAAAACTAAAGTAAAATAAAAAGTAAAAGCTGACTACAGAATTAAAAAGTATAGTATATAATATATAAGTATTTTTTTTTATAGAATAAAAGTGACAAACGAGCACACAGTCCACCTGATCGTAAGTGGATACTGTGGCTCATAGACATCTACATTTATCCTGCTGCAAATTTAGATGGAATGCGTCGTATCCAGTAAAAAGCGTCTCCGGTTCTCTACACTCACCGTGCGAAATACAGCAGCGTTAAGTTGCTATTTTACGCTGGTACTCTGTGAGAACGTGGTCCTTCCCTGGTCTAGCCGACCCATTCGTGCTTCAAACAATATAGCTGCAGCATGCTCTACCACGTTAAAAAACTAAAAATAAATAATAATATATAAATCTTAAATTATTATGATATGCAAAGGTAATCTCGATAATATGAGCTTTGCATAAATAGTGATATCAACCTTGTAAGAATAAGAAAAGCGGTGAAAGAACATCAATAGTGTACATGTAGAATCCATAGAGGATAGTGGGAAGAGAATCCACTACCCAACTCCTCGGTGTCCTAAAAGTCGACATAGGGAAACTAAAACAGGAGATGGACAGCAGCGTCTTCCTAATAACAACTAACTAAAAATAAACAAACTTTGGTTGCTAACCCGCCTGCCAAGCGATGCAACTGTGGCAAATATCCACTGTATAAGGCAATCTATGGGTAAACATATGTTCAGCAGTGGACTTTTGATAGTCTGTTACGGTAAATATCGATATTATCATGTCATAAATATCGATGTAACACCTATTATTGATACCAATATCATTAGAATTGTTGCAGCCCGTTACAAGTACAAAGCTAAAGATATTAAGGACCTCTCCGTAGACGGCCACAAAGCACGGTTCTAAGCCACCTGGAGCCATCATATCCCTGCCTGTTTCATCAGGTCGTCACTCTATCTAGTGGGGATCGCCCAGCACTACTACTTTTGGTGTACACTTGTATACTCTCACTCACTTTGCCACTCCCAAACAAGCAGCTGTCCGATCTGCGGGCATCCAAAAGCGATCCAGTCTCCCTGCGGTGACACTGCCACGCTGCTGATTCGGTGCTCCGAGACGCTCAGCGTGTGGACCAGATTTACGTCCGGCATCTCATGCAGAAAGAACAGTCCATTCGAGAACCCTGATACATTTCATATAAATAAAGAAACACATTTAATTCATTTCTAATAACAACAAAATATTTACTAGCAAAAAAATATTTTTTTTATATATAACGCATGATATCCCATAAACGTTTCCACTAGCCCCAAACTTGGTTGAGGCTTTGTTCCGGTCAGAAGGGAGTAAAGATCCAGTATAATCAGTGTGAGGCGTTTCATCTTAAGAAGGCTACAAAAGCTAAGTGACCTCGAATGACGCACGCTCACATTTACACAATTTAGTACACAGGCGTTTAAACACACATGCGTGCGTATTATGTTCGGAAATAATAAAATGCGATTTAAAAAGAATGTATTGATTAGACTAAAAAATTAATACACTATTACGTTAATATGTTCCTTGTAGAATAATCTAACAATAAATCAAAATGATTGCATGTATCTATATTAGTATGGTTTTTAATCGTAAAATAAATGTTTATATGTATACTTGTGATTTTTTTCTATCATATCAAATTAGGGAGTTTCATGTTTTCAACACACTATCTATCTAGCATATATTATGCTGAAAAATATCATAATATATATTTCTGATTTTGTTTACTGCAGTGGATCATATACTTTAAGGTAAGGTAAACTTGCGTTTAGCTGCTGTAGTCCCCTTAACCCTCAAAGGTGACAAAAAGTCTGTAGCCTTATTTGTTTGAAGGTGGTGGCGGGAGTCCATGGAATGCAGTAGCCAATTACCATCAGGTGAACTGCTAGTTTGTTTGACACATCAGTTTAAAAAAAACTAGATGTTTCACATCTTTGACGCTTCTCTCATCGTGAAGCTATACTTCACATCTGGTATATGTCTGAAGCAGCGACAACGTCAAAGGTACAAGACGTCTGGATGTACGATCGCCAAACCACCTGCTAAGCGTGGTGATTACGAAGAGACCCATGAAGAGCAGTGGACTTTTGCATGCTCGTGAAGAAAAAATATGGCCGAGATGGTTACACCACAATCTATCAGATACCATCTGATATTCCTATCATATCCATAAGTTTTACGACACACACGGAAAGAAACTGAACTGGACCAATGAATAAGGAATTTTTTTTCAACACAACAGGCACTAAATATTTATTGCATTTTATTTTATTTTATTGAAACTTCCCACATTTCTAATGCTTAAATTCACTTAAGCTTTTGTAATATGTAGTTTATACATTATTATAAATCATTATGACATTAGTAATTAATTACAAACACAAATTATAACTTATAACTTTTGTTCTAAGAAAAACCCCTAATCATTTAGTAAGGGTGTGTTTAGGTATTGTGATATGTAATAAGAAAAAAAAAATACTCCACAAAAATAAAAGAAAATTAATTTAGTGAGCAAATTTACATGGTAATACATGCGGCAAGGCGGTCGTCGGGTGTCCATGTGCCCATTTTTGATTGAACAGAGTGATGTTGATTGTACTATCTTCTTTTTACTCAGCCTGTATAAGTTGTTAGTTTTTTGTCACTTATTATAATATATAAAACAATAATAGTAACTACGGACCTGTAATTAACATCTTAGTGTCCTTATGATATTGAGCAGCCGAGAGTTTTACTTTGTGATGGGCATTTCTTATAGCATCACCAATATAGTGCCGTCCCAACTTCTTGTATGCCAATCTTTTGTCTTCATCTATTTTCTTTTCGTTTACTGGTTTTTCTTCTTCATCAGACTCCTTTAAAATATAACGTTAACACACTATTTAAAGGTCTAATAACATAAAATCTTTACAGTCCCATCGGACTTTGAGGGCTAGGGAAAAGAGAGTGCACCTGTGCTTGCGCATACACTTGGGCACTATAATCCTGTCCTGCCCCGATGGCTAGTCTCCGTTGAGACTGGCCGCTGTGACCGAAATTTGATCTGGAAGACATTCTTATTATTATTATTATATGCTACTACTACTGCAGTGGAATATACGTTAACACACTATTTAAAGGTCTAATAACATAAACTCTTCCATTTAATCTTCTTGATTAGATATTTATTAAAAAAAACATTAGTCCTACGAAACAATGCATTGATAGTTGTTTGTATTAGTGTGTTGGCGTTTTGGCGAGAGGGAAAATAGAAACAAGGAAACATAGCCCCACAAGAATTTTTTTAAGGGCGCGGAATTTCAGATATAAAAAATCCAGCCAAGTGCGAGTCGGACTCGAGCATGATGGGTTCCGTACCATCGTAAAACACGTTTCTAGTAGGGGAGCCCCGTTTAATTTTTAATCTATTTTTATTATTTGTTGATATAGAAGCAACAGAAATACACGTTCTGTGAAAATTTCAACTGTCTATCTATTATGGATCATGAGATACAGCCCGCTGACAGACAGACGAACGGACGGACAGGCGGACAGCGGAGTCTTAGTAATAGGGTCCCGTTGGTTACCCTTTGGGTACGGAACCCTAAATAATAAAGTGTAAAATCATAAACCACTAAAAAAAATTGTAATTGCATTAAAAACTGCTTATTATGTCATTTGTTGTTAACTGCTGTTATTGTCATAGTTGCACATTTAGTTATAGGCGTAACGAGTACCTGAATATATTGTTAATGCAAAATGGTAGGGGCGTTACATTGAGAATCCTTTACTCCTTTTCATTGTTTAGGCGTCCTAACCATCTCCATCCACCAATAGATCAGCGACGATTGGCCACATTAAAGGCACGAAGTACTAAGGCCGAAGTACGGATTACCATAACGTTGTAGTAAGTTATTACTACAGTCTACTTGATGGTAAATGGCTTCTGGAGTCCATGGACTCCTGCTGTCATCTTCAAACAAGGAAGGCTACAGGTGCTATATCACCTCTGAGGAACCTTGTCGCCTTATCACCTAAGATGGAGTGCCTCACGTTCTGTAATTATTTTGTCTATTTACACACATCAACCCGTAGCACAGAAGTGCAGGCGTTACTGTTTAGCGGCAGAAATAGGTAAGAGTGTGACTAAACCAAGCAACCAAACAAACAACCAAAGACAGAAAATGTCTTACCATTACCACCTTAGTAAAATGTAAGTTAATTCCTCACTTTAGTTATAAAATCATGTTATATTTCCCTTTCAGAGTAAAAAATAAAATAAAATAAATATCTCTTTCCTTTACCTATGATGGGCGGCATGCATTATATGCACCTTACTTTTCGAAATCTCAAGTTTATAAGTAGCCTGCACCATGTACATGTAAAGGTTAATGTTTATTTCCATATTATTAGTTATATTTTATATTAATTAGATTAGAAATGAATAAACCAAACTATAAATATAAACAATAGTAGAAAACTTTAAAAAAAAAAAGAGATAAAGTACAAAATATTAAAAATCAAACCACTGACGCATTGTGTTGTATATTAATATAATACTCTAGATAATAATAACTATTATTTAAAACTAACTTCTCAATTAACTGACATTGTGTAACAAAAAACTTTATCTCAGTCACAACTAGCGACATCTGGTGAGTGGAAGATTATTAGCCCACATTGATAATTGCAGTATTAGAAGCCTCACTTCCTCCTTAGTACCTAATTTCAAATAAGTATCTATTATATGGTACTTTAAATCATTATCGGACAAAGCTTTTGTAAAAGTTATCCGTCTTTAATATTCATTACATATGTATTAAAAGAATACACTACTCTTTAACATCCCGAGGGCGTCGACAGAAGGAAATCATCTCTTCATCATCACCATGTTATTGATAACAACTCAAAATTATAAAAGTGCAGCTGTCAAACTACCTATCAAGTGTGGCAACAATGCTAAATGTCTGCTCTATGAGTGCCATCTATAGGGGCGGGGCCTATGTTCAGAGATGGACTTTGATAAGCTGTAATGTTTAAATAAATTATTAATTAATGTATGCCGCATGGTAATAAAGTCCATGTAGATATAAACTTAAACTTACATAATCTTTTTCTTTTTCTATCACATCCTTTTCCTCAATGTCATCTTCACTGTCGTCTTCTTTCTGTAGCCTTCTTCTCTTCCTATGGGATATTTGGACTGCCGACGTAACCAAATCATCTGAATCTATACTCGCTTCCCACAAACAAACTTGTCCATTCCTACTAACAGTGATAAGGTCTAAACTTTTCTTTTCAAAGAAAACCCCAACAATTTTGTCAGTGTGACCACTTAAAGAATACATATTCACGTTATCTAAATAGTCCACTGTATATATTTTTGTTGTGGTATCCTTAGACCCTACGGCTAATAGTTTCGAACAGGTGGACCAGTCTAGACATGTAACATCATCATGCGCCTTTTTATAGACCCTCTTCATGATGAAAGAACGAAACTCCCCAGTGAAGTTACTTGGAGCTGTCATTATGAACACTGAAAATTTAACAATAAAAATTACGTTAAATTACATTAAACTTCAGGAAACTACAGAAATAAAGTTTTGGACATCATTACCATCATTTTATTTTTATCTTTTAAGATATTATAACTTTTAATGAATTAGATTATTAAAATCACACCTGTGTCATCACAACATGCTGCAAAATATTTGCCGTCTGGACTAAACTTGACTGCATTCACTTGCTGTTTAAATTTATATCTGTGTATTACTGTGCATGTCAGAAGACTGATCATTTGAGCTTCACCCTCTAAAAAATAAATTTTCATCATAAACATCAGTAAAATGTCATTTAAACAAAACAATCAAAAATTTTAATTTTACCATACGCAATAATATCAGATTAGAACACAATAATGTTAGAGCAACAAAACACACAGCTTCCTTGTTTAATTGACTACCAGCAACGATTTTTCTGGACCGATACAACCTAGGGACCTTCAACAAAAGCCTACTCTGTTTTAAAAGGCCGGCAACGCACTTGCTATTACTCTGTTGTGTTGCAGTTGTTCATGGTGTGGCAGTCAACACTTACCATCAGGTGAGCTCGTTTGCCTCCCCCTTCTATAAAAAAAAAGAAAAGCCACGCCATGAAATGATAAAATCTCATCTCAATTGCTTATTGTACAATATTATAGTGGAGTTGTATTCCATGCAGGTTAAAGCTATCACATATGGACAATGATATTGAAATACAAAACTTTTATATACTCACTTTCATTAACAGCTAAAAGAACAGAGCCACTTGGTGACACATCTATAGCAGTGTAGTTAAAATGACTCTCTACTGATAATGTATTACTTTTGTTCCTGAAAAAATTAAAAAAACATGCATGAGTGTCGTGGAACACTGTGTTGGAACGAAGTTCCTTTCATAGCATATTATAATAGATAAACATATTATATTATTGATTAACAAATACAAATAAATAAATTACTAGCGTCTATTAAAATGAACGGTGGCGACCACGGTAACGGTGGGGCAGGGGGTGCTAAGAATCTCCGGTGGAGGTTCGGTTGCCACCTAAGACGACTCGACCTGACAGCATACAACGCACGCACCCTGAGGACTGACGAGAAGATCGTGGAGCTGGAAGAAGAGATAGACAAGTTACGCTGGCATATTATAGGATTATCCGAAGTCCGAAGAGAGGGGGAGGACACAATAATCCTCGAATCCAGCAACTTGCTCTATCACCATCTGTCCCAAGGAGATGTCGGATTTATCGTCCACAAGCCTCTCGTTAACAACGTTGTAAAGATTCTGAGTGTGTCGACGAGGGTTGCATACCTTATACTCAGAATCACCAAACGGTATTCGCTGAAGGTCATACAGGTTTACGCACCAACCTCGGCACACCCCCATGAGGAGGTGGAGGAAATGTATGAGGATATCTCTAGAGCCATGCATTCCTCCAAAACCCAATATACGGTGTTAATGGGAGACTTCGACGCAAAACTAGGCACAAGAGAGAACGGTGAGCTGAAAGTAGGGAAATTCGGAATAGCGCAACGGAAACCAAGGGCCAGCAGCTGGCCGACTTAATGGAGAAAGAGGGACTCTTTATGATGAACTCTTTCTTCCAGAAGCGGCCCCACAGGAAGTGGACCTGGTCGAGCCCCGACGGTTCGACAAAAAATGAGATTGATTTCATTATCTAGAACAAAAGACTATGTGGATTAATGAAGTGACAACTAGGTGAGACAAGAAGATAGACAATTAATGAAAATACCTAGGTCCATATTTTGTCACAATTCCTAGGGATGCTAGAAGGAGTACAATTAGCAGACATATTCTATCTCAGTCTAAATTCAGATACAAAGCTTGAGAACTGCAGGGTCAAATTTTGTAACTTATTTTAAATTGTATTTTTTTTGTTTTTTAAAACGTCACCCCCACACTAGGGTTTTCTCCTGTGTCGTGGAGGCAGTTTACAAACATAAATTGCACAAGGACAAACATCCAGACCCGGAACAATTATTCGTAGGCCATATAAATACTTGTTCCGTGCGGGATTCTAACCCGCAGCACCCAGCGCAACAACTGATTGCTAAGCCACTGCGCCACGGAGCCGTCAATTGTATGTATGACTTGTGCCATGTTTGTTGTTTCTTAACTATCATTTAAAATATTAAATTATTAAATAAATTTCTTGTACAGTGCTCAATAATCTATATTATATAAAAATCAATTGCTAGCTGTTAGTCTCACTAAAACACAAAAATGGTTAGTTTGATTTTGTTAAAAAAACTGTGTCTGAAAGAGTCCCTAGATAGTTTAGATTCACATGTGGACCCTGTAGATGGTGCTGTTGTCGAGATACTGAAATGCAAAGCCAGGGCGGATCACTAGTCAATTATAACAATAGATCCGATTATCAATTGATATGTGATTTTCACCCACAACATAAACTGTGTAACAGTATAAATGTAAAGTAATTGAGTACTTACTGTTTTAAATTGTAAATTGTAATCCTATTACCAACAGGGCTGATCACACAGTTTCCATCATTTGTAAAAACTATATCACCTCTTCTATAAACTGTACCCAACAAATTTTGGAACTGTAAAATGTTACAAACAAAAACTTAGTGAATGTTTTTTTTTTAATGGATTGGGTGACAAACGAGCACATAGTCCACCTGATGGTAAGTGGTTACTGTGACCCATAGACATCTACATTTATCCTCAGTAAAGAATGAAAATACAGATGCGTCGTCACCCGTGAGGACTAAGATGGAATGCCTCTTTTCCAGTAAAATGGGTCTCCGGTTCTCTACACTCACCATACGAAACACAGCAGTGTGAAGCTGCTATTTTACGCTGGTATTCTGTGAGAGCGTGGTCCTTCCCCGGTCGAGCCGACCCATTCGTGCTACAACTATACTAGTAATATAGCTGCAGCATGGCTCTACCACGTAAAATAAATAATAATAATGCTGCAAGATACATAACGAATAATCCATCAAATAATTTTAAAAATAATGAAATATTGACTCCATCAAAAATTAACTACAATAATATGTTTATATCTTTTTAACCTATGTGGAATAATGTTAATATTAAATTGGAAGACATATTACTTAATAAAACCTTAATAAAAATAAATGATAGGTGGCCTATGCCCAGCGTGGGACGTAAGTAACTTTATATTCACCTTGTAATTGAACTTCATAATTACAATTATTTAACAACTTATTCTTTTAAAGCAAAGACACTATGAATATTTATTATTAAGAATAATAAATGCAATATTTTGACCTAAATAGTTGCTGCAAACCTGCAAACATAAAATAAAAACAACGTGCGAGAGACGCACATGACATTGACAGTTTTTTCATTGACAGTTTGAGCTAGGCTTGGACAAAAAATATCAAAATATCGATATATCGATATTTACTGTGGAGTATCGAATTCGTATCAATTTCGATATATTTTAAAATGTTGTACTAATGACAAAACATGTAATAACAAAATGAGGTACAAAAGTATTCATGTTTGGTTTGTTGTCAGGCAGTAATATAAAATTTTAAAACCTTTTCTTTACATCATGCAAATGATCACGATATATCGATATTCATCACGCGATATATATCGATACTGTTTAATAATATAGATTCGATATATTTTTCCCTTGCCCATCCCTAGTTTGAGCTGATTTGATCGTTTGACATTAACATGGTGTTACTAGCATTGAAACTTTTTTCCTAGTTTGGCAACTGGTACCTACCATAGAACACCAGCCACATTCACTCGATGACAGGTGTAGAAGCATAGACTTAAAATATACTGGCGTATAGACGAGTTTTGCCGTGTAGTGGCGCTTAAGAATATCCACTACCCCATATCTTCCCGTGGGTTTCGTAAAAGGCGACAAAGGGAAACAGGCAGGAGATGGGCAGCAGCATCTTCCTGATAACAGCAAAAAATAGAATAAGAAAACTGTGGTTGCCAACCCGCTCGCCAAGCGTGGTAACTATGGCAATATACCCCCCATGAGCAATGACAATAATAAATGGCCCCCAGTCCCCGGCGGACCCGCTATTCCTGGCTACGGTGGCGACCATGGTAACGGCGGGGCAGGGGGTGCTAAGAATCTCCGGTGGAGATTCGGTTGCCACCTAAGACGACTCGACCTGGCAACATACAACGCACGCACCCTGAGGACTGACGAGAAGATCGTGGAGCTGGAAGAAGAGATAGACAAGTTACGCTGGCATATTATAGGATTATCCGAAGTCCGAAGAGAGGGGGAGGACACGGTAAACTTCGAATCCGGCAACTTGCTCTGTCACCAGGAGGGCGACCATCTGTCCCATTAGAGGTGTCGGATTTATCGTCCACAAGTCTCTCGTTAACAACGTTGTAAAGATTCAGAGTGTGTCGACGAGGGTTGCGTACCTTATACTCAGAATCACTAAGCGGTATTCGCTGAAGGTCATACAGGCTTACGCACTAACCTCGGCACACCCCGATGAGGAGGTGGAGGAAATGTATGAGGATATCTCTAGAGCCATGCATTCCTCCAAAACCCACTATACGGTGTTAATAGGAGACTTCAACGCAAAACTAGGCACAAGAGAGAGAGGTGAGCTGAAAGTAGGGAAATTCGGAATAGCGCAACGAAACCCAAGGGGCCAGCAGCTGGCCGACTTCATGGACAAGGAGGGACTCTTTATGTCTCCGTGATCGCGAGGGTGAAAACTGGTAGCGATGACCGAATGTTTAGAGGCACACTGAACCTAAACGTTAAGTTGAAGATGTCTCGTCTAATGAAGTCAACGCTTCGTCCCCCTCGTGCTCTATTCCAAAGTCCCGAAACCTTTCAGCTCGAGTTACAAAACCGTTTTCAGTGCCTAGAAGACTGCAATGAAGTGGACGGTATGAATGACAAGCTCGTGTAAACTGTCCATGCGTTCGGAGCTAAGTTCTGCAAGACGCGCCACAGACGAACACAAAAACTCTCCGTTCACAATCTCAATCTCATGGCTGTTAGACGGGAGATGAAGCTACATTCTTCAACAGATTTGACAGCATACAGGCAACTGAACAGACAGATCTCCAAATGCATGCGGCGGGACTTACGCAACTTCAATACAGCTTGTATTGAAGAAGCGATCGAGCGAAACCAAGGCTCCAAAGTCTTTGCCAGAGATCTGTCTGCCAGAAAGAGCCAACTGTCAAAGCTGAAGACCGAGTGCGGCAGCATCGTTTCCGGGACACCTGAGATTTCAAGTGAGATTGAGAGGTTCTATGGGCAGCCGTACACGTCATCGTTGGAGCCACACGCAAGTGTGAGTAACGATACAAGAGCGAGTCTTATCCGACACTATTTCGATGATATCCCGGACGTCAGCCTGAGCGAGATTAGAATGGCTCTCCAGCACCTTAAAAACACAATTACAGCGGAGCTTCTGCAAGCGGGTGGAAGACCGTTACTTGAAGTCCTTCAGAAGCCCTTTAATTCTGTCCTCCATGGTGGCGTTACACCGGAGGCGTGGAGCAGAAGTGCGGTGGTCTTGTTCTTCAAGAAAGGTGACAACGCTCTCTTGAAGAACTATAGACCGATTTCCCTTCTGAGCCGCGTCTACGTGCTGTTTTCGAGAGTCATTACGAATCGTCTCGCGCGCAGATTTGACGACTTCCAGCCTCCCGAACAAGCCGGTTTTCGAAAGGGCTTTAGCACCATAGACCACATACATACCCTTCGGCAAATTGTACAGAAGTCCGAGGAGTATAATTTGCCACTATGTCTGGCGTATGTGGACTATGAGAAAGCCTTTGATTCCGTCGAAATTTGGGCGGTACTGCAGTCCCTTCAGCGGTGCCAAGTTGACTGTCGGTATATCGAAGTGCTGAAGTGTTTGTACAGTAGAGCTACAATGGCTATCCGAGTACAGAATCAGAGTACGAAACCTATCCAATTGCAGAGAGGTGTATGACATGGTGATGTTATATCCCCGAAACTCTTCACCGCTGCATTGGAAGACGTTTTCAAGCTTCTGGACTTGAAAGGATACGGTATTAACATCAATGGCGAGTACATCACTCACCCTCGATTTGCCGACGATATAGTCCTTATGGCAGAATCGCTGGAGGACCTAAGCACCATGATCAATGACCTCAATAGTGTCTCCCAACGAATAGGTCTTAGGATGAACATGGACAAAACAAAGATCATGTTTAATGTCCATGTCACACCTATGCCGGTAGTTGTTGGGAGCACTAAGCTCGAAGTTGTTGACGAGTATGTTTACCTGGGACAAATAGTCCGACTAGGAAAGTCCAACTTCGACCGAGAGGTCAATCGACGGATTCAACTCGGCTGGGCAGCGTTCGGGAAACTACGACACATCTTCTCGTCAGACATACCTCAAAACCTTAAAACGAAATTGTACAAACAGTGCGTGTTGCTAGTGATGACTTACGGATCTGAGACGTGGTCCTTCACTGCTGGCCGTATGAGGAAGCTCAAGGTCGCTCAGCGGGCTATGCTCGGGGTTTCTCTGCGTGATAAACTTAGAAATGAGTATATCCGCAGTAGAACCAGAGTAACCGACATAGCCCAACGGATTAGTAAGCTGAAGTGGCAGTGGGCCGGCCATATAGCTCGAAGAACCGACAACCGATGGGGAAGAAAGGTTATTGAGTGGCAGCCTCGTACCGGTAGGCGAAGTGTAGGGTGACCCCCACGAGATGGAGTGACGACCTGGCAAGACATGCAGGAAGTGGATGCAGGTGGCTCAGAACCGTGCCTTGGGGCATTCCTTGGGGGAGGCCTATGTTCAGCAGTGGGCTTATGAAAGGTTATAATGATGATGATAGACGACTTGACAACCCGAAAACGCGTGACTAGTTTTGATTCGTCATTGTGTGCGTTAGCTAGTGATTTGCATTTTACTTACAAGGACCATCGAAAAATGATTGTTAAGAAAGCGGTAAAAAGATTTAATCATAATCATAATCATTTATTTCTTGGATCATAGGTATTACATAGATGTTAGATACATTATTATATAATCAATGTCCTACCCTGTGGGCATACGAAATACAATATTTTTGTAAATCATTTAAAGTAAGGTGGGTGGACCATGGAAGGCCACTCTAACGATTAAACACTTTTTATTCGTTTATTAACTGAATAAATGAAGAAAACAAATTATCAAGTAATAATTTGTTTTTTGTGTACCATAGAAATCACTTTTTTTAACCTAGCTTTAATCACTATTTATTAAACTTAAGTTTTATTAAGCCCTTCCAAATGGCCTTGCAAGGAACACGGCTCCAAACAAGGCCAATATTATACATCAGTCGGCAACTTAAAAATAGAGTTGTAATAATTAATATATCCGCTTTTACTAAAACTACATTATAAGCTTTTTTATTTAAGCGAAACATTAAATGCTCAATATATTTTTATCATTTATAAAAAACTCAACGAACATTACTTGAACACCATCGTATAACTAAGAATATATTAATGGAAATTATTTAAAAATAGTAGTAATGAGTATTACATTGACATCAAATAACTTGCCAACGCGTTTTATAATGAAATTAAAAAGTTTTTTTTTAACCTAAAATGGCCTTCTTATGGGTCCGTTCTTTGTAAGGCCAAAATGTTTCTAAGAAGGCGAAACTAACAATTATCAATGACTTTTTATATTAATTATAACAAAATAATAGACGCTACAGACTAAGTACTGTAATTATTACAAATTTATCATGGCACATAGTCAGTCTTGAAGTCAGGACTGTTCAAAATCAACGATTCTTTTACTCACATACCTACTTACTTCATCACATACTTTACCGTTTTTAACATGCAAATATATTTTATGTTCGTTACTTTTCATGTAAATTAGCTTAGTTTATTTTCAAACATAACCTTCCCATAAAAGAAATTTAAATATGTACTGAAATTAAAATAATTGTGAAAAAATGTCTATTCAATATGAGTTAAAAAGTTTAATAACCCTTATAAATAAAAATATTATAAATATAAAACAACTGCAACAGTACCTAACTGTTCATATGTTCATGGTTTGTAGAAGTTTCTTGTAAGGTCCATGTAGGTACCCTAGCAAGGCCAACCGTCAAATTTTTGGTTGGCCTTATAAGGAACCTCCGGCTTTTCTAGGAGCACTACCAATATTTTAACTTAAATCGAGGCAA